CCCCCCCCAGGCCCCAGCTCCCCGGGAGATCTTCGGGCTGGGGGTTTCCTCGCCGCTCTCTGCTTTTGAAAGCAGGGCCGAGCCTTGGCGGGACCAAGAAGACAACCAGGCTCTGGAACCAGCCTCGCTATGCTGTGCGGCCTGAACTAAGCAATTGCCCTCTCTGGGCTTCAGGCTACCCAAGGTGCCCCCGGATGAGCATCTGATGGGCAGAATACACGCTCAATCGTGGGTTTCTCCGAAGCACTGGACTCTCAGGGAAACGCGCCCCTCAGCCCCTAGAGGCGAAAGGGGGACAGCACTGCAGGAATTTTGGATGAGGAGAGGTCCCTCCGTCCCCCGCCCCCATGCCCCAAGGGATAATGGACCCCTGGGGCGGCCCTGTACCGCTCTGGCTGGCACCGGACAGGGCCACCTGGCACCCCTCGGCCTACGCCTCCGGCTCGCGCGCCCCAGCGGGCACCCACGTGGGTTCACACTCTCGCCCCGAGGCTTCCTCTCGGGAGACGGGCTTTGTCTGCTGGGTGAGTCACTTCCTCCTTCGCGCCGCTCCACCAGGGAAACCCTCTGCTCACCTGTCACCACCTGCCACACTCCAATCTGAGACCACAGCAGCGGCAGGCCCCACCTCTGTCCAAGGGCAGGCATGGGAGCTGGGGCCTGGGAGGCGCCAGGCAGCCCCTACAGTGACCAAAGGCCAGTGGGAAGGACCCATCAGTGGGGTTCTTACCAGGTCTTTAGGTCGCGGGAGCGCTTAGCTCCTCAGATGATTCACCTGGCTGATTTTAGGAGGTGACTACAGTACCTTCATCATCCCTATTAATGGATGAGGAAACTGAGATCCAGGGAAGACTTGACCTCAACTCAGGCCCCCTCCTGCCCCACCCAAGGTGTCCCACCCAAGGTGCGTGAGGAGAGGAGCAGAGAAAGCCCGGGAGGAACCTTGAAAAGCAGGTCCAACCCTCCTAGGCCAGCAGAGCCAGGCTCCGATTGACTGTTTGGGCTCTAAAGTCTTCACCTGTGGGACAGATGGCCCCATCTTCCTTCAGAGGTGTTTGATCCAGTGGGTGAGCCAGAAGCCTGATGCAGATGAAGGGCTCCATTGCTCGGCAAGGTTCCCTTCCTCTTCTTGCCACACCCCGTATCTCACCCCAGTCAGATTGCCCACCTGGTGCCCCTTGGCCTGAGGATGCATTCCAGGAGAATGTGCCCGCCCCTGTGGCAAGGCTAAGGTAGGAGCTTTCCTACAGAGGAGCACATGCTCACACACACATGCAAGTGTAAACACACGTGTGCATACACCTACACACACATGGACATAAGTGTGCAAACACAGGGGCCCCTTGTCACCACCTGTTTGCCCAGATTCTGACACTGAGCTCCTGGAGAATAAAAGCAGGTCCGACCTGCTCTTTGATCCCAAGCACAAGCCTGATACACTTCCATTCATACATTTGTATTCGCCATGCACACAGTAGGTGTTCTTATTTACAGTAGGGTTCTTGGAACCCAGCAGGAAAGGCCAGCCTGGAGGAGGGTGTTCAGCTAATAGTTCCCAGAGGTAGGGGGGCTGGGGGCTTGCCAGTATCCCAGGGACAGGCCACAGGCTGTATCTGAGCCACAGGTCTGGTCTCACCAGAGTCCTCCCCAGCTCCCCAGAGGGTCTGCTAACACCCTGCCCAGAGCAGCAAGTCCTGCAGCCCTGACCATGAGGCTGGGAGCAGGGGATGTCCCTACAACCACCAGAAAGTCTTCAAAACCAGAGTCACCACCCTGGGCCAGGGAGGGGCTGCTGATTGTGGAGGAAGAGAAGCCGACTGAGCGGTAGTGTTTACGAAGACCAGCACACTGATCTCTCTCCTGGCCCCAGTCAAGAACGGGGGTTAGTGAAGTGGGACCTGGGAGGGAACCAATCTGAGTCTCTCAAGCTACAGCAGAAGTTCCTGAGAATTGGGGAGCTCAGGGCACAGCCCAAAATGCCCTGAAAAGGGATCCATAGGTCCCAGAACAGGACTCCAGAAAGTAAGGGGCTCAGGACCCACCCCCACTTACCCAGCACCCACCGTAAGCACTCCCGCCACCCTTATCCCACACACAAGCACCGAGACACCACTTATCACCTAAGGGAGTCCAGGGATCGGGGTGGTGCTCGTATTGAGCACAAGTGTGTATACATCTGTTTGTGTTGCAGGCGTGTGTACCAGTGTGCAAGGTTGTAGAAGGGGCTGCATGTATGTGCGAGGACCCAGTGGGAGTGAGTGTGGAAACATAAGTTAGAATGTGTGTGTACGTAGCAGTAGCACACCTCTGAAGCAGCAGACAATAAACAATGAGCAAGCCCGGTACTCAGTACTCACACACCCAAAAGCACAGCCTGGGCTCAGACACAGCCCCTGGGCCCAAGCAAGAGCTTCAAGTTCAGTCCTTCAGCAGAACCACCAGCTGTGCAGACCTCAGACTCCCAAGTGGAAACACTGCTGGCAGGTACGAGGGACTCACCGGCAGGCAGAGGAGCTGGGTTCAAACCAGAAAGGGTGAGACCTGAACAGGTCCTGCTGCTCCCACTCCCCACCAAGCCCACCACAGGCTGGGGACACAGCCCCAAGCAAGCGGGGAGTCAGGGCAGGGGCCAGTCTGACTTTCCCCCCGGTGACCACATCACTGCCAAGTGTGGGGCCCGTGGGCCCTGCGATGACTTGGAGCCTGCAGATTCCCGAGCTGCTGGTCTCTGAGCCTCTGTAACTCACCCCTGCCATGGCTCCCCACCCAGATGGACCCCTTGCCTGCCCTGGCCCAGCACCCCAGCTCCAAGATCCCACCCCAGAGTTTACTCAGATCCCTTTCCTTGTGCAATGCAGGGGCTGAGGACAGGCCCTGAGCTGGGCAGAGCCAGGCCGGTCTAGCCTCAACAGCTTTCTGGCTGCATGACCCTAACCCCACACATCACCATCTTCCTCTCCCTCTCCACAACTCTAAAATGGCCTGAAGAGCAGGTCTTGCTTCCTGGGAACGTCTGGAGGATTAAAGGGTTACCTGACACTCAGCCCGGGCTTGCTGATGGCAACTGTTATTGTCATTATCCTTGCCACCCCAGCTCAGTCTGGGACCCAGCCCTGAACTTGCCAGGGGAGAGGGATTCCTTGAGGCTGAGAACAGGGCCCCTTCCTCCACGTGTCTTCCCTCGACTCCCCCATCCAGGCCATGGGCGTCTGTGTACTCTGGACTCCTCCCCCCACTTCCTTACCAGGCACTGGGATTGGAATGCCTCTGTCCTACACGGAATACCTGTCCGGTAACTGACATCATCATTATCAGCAGGCTTAATGACAGTACAGTTAGTCCTGGATTAGAATTAGTAACAGTACTGTTCATGTTCTCTTTTGGATCTAAGTCCTGGGATCACATATCTCACTTCCCAGATTTACCCACAAGCTTCAAGCTTAGGGTCAAGCCAGGCACAGTGGAGCAAGACTGTAATCCCAGAACTCTGGGAGGCTGAGGCAGGAGGATCACAAGTCTGAATCTAGCCTGAGCAATCTAGCAATTTAGCAAAATTCTGTCTCAAAATACAGCCTGGGCAATTTAGCAATTTAGTGAGATCCTGTCTCAAAGTTAAAAAAAAAAAAAATTAAAAGGGCTAGGGATGTAGCTCACTGCAAAAGCTCCAAGTTAAGTCTCCAGCTCTTTTTGTTGTGTTTCATTTTGTTTTTTGAGACAAGATCTTGCCATGTAGTTCAGGCTGGTCTCAGACCCATGGCATTCCTCCTGCCTCAGCCTCCTGAGTGCTAAGATTACAAGTCTCCAGTTCTTAAAAAAAAAAAAACTTTAGGTTTTTTTTTCCTTCTTTTTTCTGGTGGTGGTGGTGCTAGGGATTGAACCCACAGCCTTGAGTACCAAGCATTCTCTATACCACTGAGCTATACCCAAATCCTCAAACTTTTTTGACCAAGACCCAAAGTAAGCAATATATTTTACAATGGGGCCAGCTACACGGACATTTGAATGTACTGTCCTCAAATTGATGCTGAGCCCCATGCGGTGGCCAAATTCGGACCCTGATCTGTCCCATCCTATATCTGTTTGTCACTGCTGACTGCAGCTCACTCTGTTGACTTTGCCTGTGAGCTAGAGTTAAAAAGTGCTGCCTGGAACAATAAGGTCCTTGAGACCAGGAACCAGAACCCGCTTTCCTCCCTCCCCAGGACCACTGTGGGCTCCACTGAAGAGTGCCCAGGACACACATGAAGGCAATCAGGTGTCACGGGGAGTGGGGTAGAGGAGGAAGACACAGTGAGGTCAAGGCTCACTTCTGGTTCCCAAGGGCTGTTGGGGAGAGAATGAGGACCATGGCTACACATCTGACCCAGTCTGAGGGGACCTGCTGGAGTGTCTTCGCCCCATGCAACGATCTTCCTATTTAGACAGGGTCTTCCTACGTAGTCCAGGCTGACCCTGAACCCAAAATCCTCCTGCCTCAGCCTCCCAG